ACACAATGAACAAAATATCAAGATTTTTGGAAAGAGACTAAAGAGTTAGTGTCTCCTGCTAGGTCTGCTCTGCCTGTTTCCACACAGGGCACTCTTGATGAATCTCACCTATGACAATCCATATAACAAAGCGGGGCTCTGGGATTTTAAGACCTGGGTTCATGGCCAGGCTCTGCCAGTGACTTGCTGGTGATTCCAAGCAAGTCCCTTCCCTTCTCTGGACTCTGGTTACCCCCATCTGTCCCGCGTGGAGGCTAGGGCATTGCCAGGATGGTCTCCTGACCCATCTTCCTCATCCCCATGGCCTGCTGAGGTTACTGTCCCTCTCCTCGGGAGGCTGTGTCTCCTGGGCCATTGACTCCTGGCTATTAATATCTCCACCATCCCCGGCCTGATCAGGGTGTTTAATGACTGCCAGCTGTGGCTCTGGCCCCCTCCCTTGGGAGAGATAAGAGCAGTTCCTGTTCCCACATAGGGAGAGTTGGGAGGAGGCAGGGTCATTTCTCAGGAAAACAGGCCCTGGGCAAGTGGTGGGAACAGAGGGGCTGACTCTGACTCCTTCTCCTGCCTGGCCCGGCACTGCCAGATGGAGGTGCCTGCAGATACGGACTCCCTGTGCCCCTGCCCCATGGGGGCTGCCCAGGCCTCCCCACTCCTGCCTGGACCTTCTCCCTTTCCATCCTGATTTTAGTAGCCTTGGGGCTCTCCCCAGACATCCCACAGACATTACATTCAGCATGTCCCCAACCAGGTCATCTCCCCAAACCCCCTTCTCTTCTTCCTCCCTCACACCTGGATGATGGACTGGCAGCTTTTCTTCAGTTTGCCCCTGGGGCCCTTCTCAGGACCCAAGACCACCCTCATCCCCTTGGCCTCCTTTAAGAAACCTCCACTGGATTCCTGTGGCTAAGGGCCCACCCCAGGCACCTGCTTACTTGGATTTGGGTGTCCCTGGCACCCATCATGCTCTCTTGGGACCTAGAGACCCCTGCTTAGTCTTTGGAGAAAACTTGAGGTCTCTTCACCTGGGAGGCTGCTCCCTATCCATTCAGCTGGCACACTGGCCACCCCCCTTGTTCAGCCTGTGCCCCAGAGTGACAGGTACTGTCCACATGGTGGCCTCTGCCATCAAAGTGATGGTGGCCCTCTGCACCAGGTTGGACGGGGCTCCTTGCTCCTCTTTCCAGGAGGTGCCCACCGGAGTTAACTGGACTTTGTCCTCAGGACCTGGGGTCAGGGCTCAGTCAAGGGCCAGGGCCTAATCTGTGCCCTAGAGGCCCAACTCTACAGTTGGGACTGGGAGGAATCACTGTGTGCCACAGAAGTCAGGGGACTGGGTCTAGGGACTGGGCTCTGGGTCTCCCTAATCTCCTAGGCTGTCCCTGGGGTCACCAGTCATGTGGCCTCACTACATTTTCCCTCTTGTATTTCACTCTGAAATGGAGCTGAGGAGAGAGGCCTGCCCTCTGTGTCACCTGGCCTGCTGCGGAGGGGCCTGAACCCTGTGATGTTTGGGTCCCAAAGGCCAACCTTGGTGAAGTCCTTGAGGTACCCACCAGGTGGCGCTAGAGATGAGCTGGCCTGGCCTGACAAGTGCCTTGCAAGGCAGGGGAGGGACTGGGGAGGTTCGGGGGAAGAAGGTGTGCAGGAGAAATTCTGCTCGTGGTTATTCCCATTCCATAGGCACCTGGGGATGTTCACTCCTGGCTTCTGTCCACCCGAGACGGTATTTCAACTGCTCTCTGTTCCTGAATGCCCAACACTGGACTTTTCACCTACTCTCAGGGCAGGACCTCACCAGTGTTCTCCTTTTTGCTGCCCGTGTCTTGGGTCTCCCCACATTTGCTTCATATGCCACCCTCCTGGCTGATTGATCCGGTCTCCCCTGGGCTCTCTCCTTTACTCTGAAGCTATGACTCACTAACGGTGGGATTTCGGGCACTGTGGTGGATGGGCTGGGTCTAGCTTGGAGGGTGGTCCCTCCTGGCCTTCCCATAGCTCAGGCAGCCTGTGGGGTCACTGATTTGGGAGGCAAGGTCCTGCCCATTCCTCTGCAAATGCTCCACTTCTTGGATCTCTTGACTCTTCCCATTTCTGTTTTCCCTCCTCCCCTTACCCTCTTCACCAGCCTGAGCTCATCCCTCAGTTCCAGAGAACTGTTCTTGTTCTCTCACAGCCTCCAACCTCTGTGCCTCCCTCGGTCCCCAGTCTGCTTGGGGATCTCCCTCCAGTTGCTGTCCTCCCCTAGCCAGAGGACACAGCGGGTGGCAGAGGGCTCTGGACAGCCCCTTCCTCATTAGCCACCCATGCCTTAGCCAGGAGCTAAGCCTAGCGATCCATCAGGTGGAAAAACTGAGGCCCAGAGATACAGGGAACTGCTCAAGATCCACAAGAATATCGGAATTCGAATCAGGACTAAAAGAGTAGGGCTGGGTCTTCTGGACCTTACTGGTAGACAACATCTCTGGAACCAGTTTAAAGAAGCACTGAGCTGGGGAGGCAGGGAGGGAAATCAGTGACATGGCCCAGCTGGGAGAGAGGAGCATGGCCCTCCCACCTGTTCCCTATCTCTTATCCCCATGCCTTGGAGTAGGAGGGATGGGAGACTCTTGGGGAAGAATAGAACAAGTTCCGGGTGACCCAAATGCCCATGCCCAGCTCTCCACACCCCATTGGTGGTCACCACCATTGGCCCGGGCTGAGGAAGGGACGGTGAGTGCTGAGAATGCGCTCTCCAGCAGGCCAGAAAGCGGCTGAAACCAAAGGTAGGGATATTCCCTTCTCTGTCCTACAGCTGACCATGCACAGGGCAGGCGTGACATGTGACTCTAGATGGAGTTTGCCACTGTCAGACCTGCTGGGCCACTGGTCCAAGGGTATGTGCCTGGGGCTGCCCCTGCCCTGGGTTCACAGTGACTCTGATCCTGGCCTGACCACCCCTGACACAGGCCTCCTCAGCATGCTGGTTTGGTTGGGGCTGTCATTGGGTGATGGGTTCTGGGATGGTACTGAGTAGGACAAGGCTTTGAAGGAGCCTTGCAAGCAGATCTGAGGCTTTGCCAGCCTATTCTAGCTTCTTTTTACCAGCTTGGCATCCCTCTCCTTCTCCCAAACAAGACAACCCCTCTGCAGGTTTGCAGGAAGTGGCAGCCAAGGGGTCAGGCAACGGCTTTGGAGGGAGACCTCTCTTGCTAACTGAAATCATCTACTTTGCCCTATTGCCTGTGTCTAAACCATTCCACCAGTCGTATTGGCTCTGTCACTCATTTTGGTGACATTTCTGTCCTCTATCTCTTTTTACCTGAACCCTGGGCAGTGTAAACATGGTCAGCTTATACCCCATGCACCCCTGTCTGCAGGAATCCCTGTGGCCTGCAACATGCTCCCACTTAACCATTTCTGGGACTGCGGCAGCTCAGTCAGCTGTTCTGTACTAATCCAAGAATAGAATTTCCTTCTCTTGGTTGGATTTAGAAGGTCAGGGGACACAACGAGAACCTAGTATAACTTCCCCACGCTCAGAAGACATGGGATACCATTCAATGAGACATGGGGTGAAGGCCTTTAGAACTCCGTGCTTCTCCTAGAAGTGTAGGATTCCCATCCAAAGCCAGAAGGGTGGTGACAGCTGGCTTCAGTGATGCTTTCGACCTCCCCTCCTCTGAATGGGGTAAAATGGCAGTAAGTTGAAAGCTGGTCCCCGTTTTAGGTCACGTGGGAACACCAACCACCAGGGAAGCCAAGCCGATTCAACCCAACATTTATTGTCGCACAGCCTGTTTGCAGTCCTGAGGGGATCTTCTGGCTGGAGTGTGGGCAGGAAGCCACGTGGCCACAGGGTGCAGGGTAGGCACAGGATGTTATTGACCACCAGGCTCCTGTCCAGACAATATGTGGGCTAGAGGACTTCTCAGCCACACTCCAGTGTGGCTCGGGTGGGAATGGGATTGCAGGGATGGTAGCAATAATATCAGTGGTGATACAAATAACTAAGAGGATGAAGCTTGTTACAGTATATAAAAAGCAGCAGTTAGGAATTTGTGCTTTCATTTTCTCATCTGACGGATCTGAGATCGAACCCTACCTGTGTGACAAGGCGAGGCACCTCTCTGTGAGACTCAGTTTCCTGACCTGTGAAATAGGGACAGTAGTTCCCACCTTGCTGGGTTGATGGGAGGATTAAGGGGCGCACGAGCGCACATCTCTCAGCCTGGTTCTGATAGTTGGCACATAGGTGGGCGGCCAAGGGAAGCTCCCACTGCCTGTAGGGATGGCAGGGCTGGTGGCAGTCTCGATCGTTCCAGCCATCCTGGGACCACCGCACTTCAGCAGGGACTATGGAGATACCTGTGCGCCCCAAACTAAACTCCCTATCAAAACCACACCCGTCTGAGGCAAACTCCTCCACTGGGAAGGGCTGGCAGCTCAGAGGACGACGCTGGGGGAGGCGACCGCATCTGGGAAGAGATGCCTTAATGGTAATGCTTAACCCAAAGGAACTTGACGCAATGGTGGAACTTCAGGCTCCGTCGAGGTGGTGGTGGCCGGTGATCTTCAGGGGCAAGATCTTTGTGTCCTCGGCGCACACCACGATCCCGCATTCATTGTCCGAGGACGGGCAGTTGCCTGCCTTGGACGGCGCCCGAGAGCCACCAGCGCCGAGTCAGGGGAGAGTATGTGGACTTCTTGCCCCTGCTTGGCGGACGAGGACTTTTCGGGGAGGAGTCTGATGGCTGAGCTCCACCCCACGTCTCCTCAGGTGGGAGCCCCCCCGCGCACCTGCTTGCAGAGAAGCGGCTCCCGCATCTGTGCACCCTACTCTCAGACAAGCGCAAGGGCAGAGTTCTTGAGGGGCGTCCGGACAGTGGCCTGGGGACCGGGGCAGCCTCCGAGCCCAGGGCCGGGGCTGGCCTCGCCCGGGCAGGCCTCGGTCCCCGGTGCCGCCCGGGGTGGGTGGTGCGGACGGGAGGAGCCGCTGGGGGCCCCTGGGCGCCTGGCGGTCAGACCAGGGAGACTTCGGCCTGGAAGCTGGAGGAACGGCGCGCGCCCGGGCTGACGCGGGTCAGAATGGAGACCTGCGTGCTGCATGTGGCCCCGTTGCTGCCTCCTGACGGGTGCTGGTATTTAGGGTCCGAGCCCAAGAAGCCCTGCAGGTGCCAGCGCCGCCACTTCCGCCGCAACTCCGCCTGCACCTGGGGAAAGGGAGGTATTCAAGCCCGCCCCCAGTAAGCCTCCTCCACTGCTGATCGGGCTGCTCTGGATTTAGGGTGCCGAGCCAGCCAGTCAAATCCTCCTGGGGAGTCTAAGTTGAGAGACCCGGATGCTACCTAGGCTAGTGCACAGTGGGACCACTGGGGACCCGGGTCAAATCAAGGCCTTGGAGCCAGAGGCGGTAGGAGGCAGAGAGGATCAGAGAATGCAGTCGGGGAGGGGGAGGGGTACTGCCTGGGGGTGGCTGAATCCCCATTCCCCTGATCGCTGCCCCCCAGCTCACTCGCGCTCATCTGAGTGGATGGATTTCTGTGCTTTGTAACCAGGCTCCACGGTAACTCAGCCTCCACTGGCAGTCCACCCCTTGCCCCTATCCCCACTTGCTGGGCACAGCCACTTAACCAAACCGATGTGCACACAAATCCCAGGTGTGTGTGTGTGTGTGTGTGTGTGTGTGTGTGTGTCTTAAAATGCAGATTCTAAGTCAGCAGGTCTGGGGGGCAGAGGGCAGAAATCAGCCTTTTTAACCAGGTCCTAGGTATGTGCCATCACCTGTTTTCTAGTCTGACAACCACACTTGGAGTAGCAAGATTTAACCCATCCTTGCTCTGCACTTATCCCATTAGTGTTTCCGCACCTTGAAACCTGAGTTTCAACCTGAGTGCTATTGCCTGGCCCCCAAGGTCTGGGAGGGGCTTACCTCACCATTGAGGAAGCAGTACAGGATGGCCACCACAAACCCCTGGGGAGGAAGGGAGTAGGAGAGGTGAGGTGGACAGACTCCAGGAGCCCCGCAGCCCCTGTACCACCCCTGGCCCTGGTCCTTACGTTCCCCTGATTAACCAAAGGGCAAAGCATACAGTAGGTGCTTAATCAGGACTTATTACAGTGGGAAAAAAATGGAATCCGGTGGCAAGGGGCCAAGGCCCCAGGCTGAATTCCCTTAAAGCCCAGAGAAGAATGCAGACTGGTGGATCGTTCATACCTGGAAAGACCCCATGACGAGCTCAAAGACCATTTTCACCTCAGCTGTAAAGTTGTTGGGAAAGAAGGCGAACGTGATGTAGTGCACTCCAAACAGGGGGATCAGCAGAAGAGTTGACTTGGCCAGTCTCCTGGGGACAAGGGGGAGGGCAGATAGTGCGTAAAGGAGGTAGGGATGATGACCAGGATGTGTGAGGACGGGCCGCTGGCTCCTGGAAGTATTATGTGCACATGTGTTCCTGTTCCATATCTGCAGTGCGTCTACCCTCCACCTCCACCCCCTCTCCAGGTCTCCTAGCCTAAAAGGAAGCATGAAGGAGAAGGAAGCTCTCTTTTCTCACCCTTCTGGAGGAGAGACCATAGAGGAGGTCAGTGCTGAACCCTGAGGATGAGACATAGTATTTCAGGGTCTGTGGCAGCCAAGGGAGAGATGGTCTCAGCTAACAGGAGATCCTGGTTCCCCCTCTCCTGGTCTCAGTTTCCCTAATCTTTACGGTGGGGGTAAATGTATGCTCAATATTATCAAATTACAGAAATGGGCCTCACTGGAAACTCAGAACTACTTTGGGTGTTATAAAGTGCAGTGCATCCACAAGAGACTAATTCTCTACTAGGGATGAGGACATTTGGGAAGGAAGATTTTGTAATTGGGGTGCTGACCACATATGCCCAAGGCCACTTTGGAGGATGCTGGGCACTCCAGTTTATGCCTGGTTTAGTCCATCTTTGGCTTCTCTGCCTGTCCACTTCTCTAGAAGTTGCCACCTTTTCTGAGATTGCATCCCTCCCTCCCTGGCTTCCCACACCCATACACACACTCTCAGCAGGCTCTGAAGGACCAGCTCCTCCTTCTCCAGCCTTGTGTGCTTGACAGGGTCGATATTCATTCTAAATGACTCATCCCTCTCCTGTGCAGCAGGGCTCATCCTGGTTCAGGCCTCCCAACCACCTGACCTCGGCCGGTCCAGACAGTGTGAACTCGCGGTTCCCTGGCTGGGAGAGGTCTGAGCGGCTGGGGGTGTCCGCCGTGATCCCTTCTGCCTCGGAAGTCAGTCCAGGGAAACCTAGTCCTGGGCCCGAGGTCCCCCAGCCTTGCCCCTCCTGCTCCTTCCTAGACCTGGGTCCCAGCCATGCCAAGATCCTGAGCACTGCCCACCCCTTTTTGGCCACAAATCTCTCCCGCATGCCCAAGGCTGACAGATGGAGGCTTTCTTTAAATTGAAGGCTTATGGGGAGGTGGAGAGTGGGAGCCGACAGCCCCTCAGCGGGGAGCCCCATCTCCTATTCCCCCCACCCCTCTGCCTGCCGACAGCTGCTCAGTTTCTATCTCACCCACGTGGACCTGGTGATGACCGGCTTCCTTTGCCTCAGATTCAAGCCCTTTGGAGTAGTTGTGCTGTGGGGCAAACCGGGCCCCACAGGCAAAGCAGAGGATAAGGATGCCCGGGCCTGATGTACTGCCCCTTGGCAGACTACAGGCCCTGTTCTCAGACTGGAGGGGAAGTTCCTCCTACGCACCCAGCGGGGGAGAATGCCGTCACACCAGGAACGTGAGTCTTAGTCTCATCAGAGAGAATCACAGGATTCCAGAATAGAATCCTAAATCCAGCAGCTCGTGACATTCTAGCTAAGAATCTTAGAACCACAGCACAAGACTCTCCAAAGAGAAGCCAGGCCAAGAACGGTCCAGATTCCCAGGACTGGGCGGCCCTTATGGGATGCTCCAGGGTTGTCCTGTCTCCGCAGCACTGATAATCAGTCTCTTGTTCCCATCGGTGGGCATGCAGACCCCTACTCACCTCCTCACAGCCACCCTGCCCTTGTTTCTTTAGTTCTGGCTTCAAGCCCTGTTCTCATGAAAACCTTCCTGTTTCTCCAGTCTTGCCAAGAGCAGAAGACAGCCCTCACACCTTTCTTTCCAAGCAAGGAGCATGACCACTGTCCCAGGGACACTGTGCCCTCCCCCCTACCAGGGCCATGTGCTCCCAAATCCTCGAAGAGGAGGGAGTGAGTGTCAGTTTCCTTACCTGTAAAATGTGGACAGTTTATAGGAGACTGTGTGGATGACATGAGATGATATGTGGAAACCCCTTAGCACACCTGGCATGGAAACTGCTGTTACTATTCCTGGGGACTACTTAATCCTATGTGGCTACCTCGTTGTTCAGCTGGGGGCTCCCCCAGGGCATCCATCTACTGTGTACTTACTGTGTCCCTTTTCTGTGCCAGGCCCTTGCCAGGGACTGGGCACCTGGTGTGAATAGGGCACAAGTGATCTGTTGTGTTCTCAAGCTCCCTGGCTTGGCAGTGGATACATACCTGGGGCAGATCGCTTGCTAGGTAAGTGACTGCAGGGGAAGCGGGCACGGGGTTTATGGGCCTGGCAAGGGTAGGGATGGAGCGGGGGACACTTGTGGGCTGAGCCAGGTCATGGGGGGTGGAGGTGGGCAAGAGCAAGGTGGCTTTTTGGTGACTCTGGAGTCACCTGACTTCCTGGAAAACTTCAAAGACACATGGGCAGATTTGGGGACGGGGGATGGGGACACCAGGGAAGCCAGAGCATACTCACGAGTATGGGCTGCTGTGACTCTTTCCAACATCTGGGGACTGAAGTTTCTGAACCAGGATCCGGATAATGCAAATAAACAGGATAAAGTTCACCTGGTGGATGCGGCCAAGGTTAGTGGTCAGAGAGGGGAGGCTGAGGGGTCCAGCTCCCCGGACTGATGTCCTGGTTTCTTCCCCAGGACCCTGCTGTCTATCCGTCTTCTCTCTTCCCTAGCTTTCCCCACTTTGGGGGGTCATCTGGGAATTCTACTTCACATCTTGAAGGACTGGCCCTCCCCATCTGTGTTCTTTACCCTAGAGGAGAAACTGATGGGGGAAAGGATGGGGACGACCCTGCCTAGAGTCACTGGGAAGCCTCTGTTTCCGTTCTGATCCTGACACGAATTTCCTGTGTGACCTGAAGTCAGTGGACTACCCAATCTAGGCCTCAGTTTCCCCATCTCTACGTGGTGGGAGGAGGCCTTACCAAGATGGAGGTGAGGATGGGGGCCTTTATGATCCACCAAAATGAGGAGTTGATGGTGTTCCAGCATCTGGATAGGGCATGGTGGGGGAGAATGAGAACGGTTGTCCTCAGCCAGGGTCAGAGGCCCTCCCAGGTGCTCCGGCTCTGCCCCCGAGCCCTTTAGAGACCATAGGCCCAGAGTCTGTGCCTCCCAGCTTCCCTTCATCCCACCTAGGGGATCTGCCCCAGATGATGGCAGCCTGGGGGAGGGGGCGGGGTGGCAGCTCACCCAGTATCCTCAAAATAGAGCCTGATGATTGTCCACACAATGGTGAATATGCTGGGCACCCCTGTCAGGGTCAAAGAAAAGAAAAAGAGGAAAGGGCACAAGAGAGAGATTTAGGAGAGAGAAAGAGAGAGAAAGGGAGGGAGAGAAGAGTGGGTTTCCGGGGCTGCCACCTGCGGTTGCACAGGCCATTCACTGTGCAAACATGCTTGCTCTACTGAGGGGGTGGAGCGCTATGCCCGAGGGGCTGTGTCCCCCTAAAGGGAGGGTCTTTTTCTCAATTTGACAGGGGCACTTTACAGACTAGCAGTGGCCCTGCGTTTCAAGGGCTGAAGGGGAAATGGATGCTCACAGAAACTCTCTGTCCCACAGATCAGCTCTAGTTTCAGCTGCAGCCTGAGGGCACCTACCCCGGGGTCAGACACTGGGGGGGACTTTTGTCAACTCTTGGCCTAGAGCCTGGTAGGCAGGACCGGCGGCCCAGGGAGACCTACGAGTGCAGGCAGGGTTGGCACCCACCCCCTAGTGAGCTCCCCAGGCCTTGCCCCTTCCGTCCCCAGCCTGGCAGCCCTCCCTGGTACCATACCCCAGCCGATGAGTATGTACCCCCAGAAGTACTTCCGCTCAGAGAAGAAGGAGACAGCCAGCAGGGTGTGCAGGTAGAGGCCCTCCACCAGCAGCCAGAAGAAGTTGGCCATGATACAGTACTGGAATAAGACCATGGCTGCCTTACAGCTCACCTGCAGGGGGAGGAACAGAGAAGGGGCTCACTGGGGTCCCCTGCCTGCCCACATCTCCGTTTGGGGCAACAAACACAGGTGCAGCACGGCCAGCCTAATCTCTTTGTTGTTCTTGCATTGTCCCTTTCGAAATGTACCTGGTGGTTTTCCCATTATCCCTGATTTTAGATCATCTGATATTTGGGGATAAGTTTGCAGATTTAACGATCCATCCATCAATTTATCATCTATTCATTTTCCTTCTGTATGTCTATCTACCCACCTACCTATCCAACCATCCATCTGCCCACCTATCCGTTTATTTACCCACTAGGTGTTCTACCAGCTCACCCATCTGTCTGTCCATCCACTGATCATTTATTCATCTTCCCGTCTATCAGCCCACCCATGCACTCACCCGCCTATCTCTCCATTCTTCTACCTATCCACCTACGAGCCATCCTCTACCAACCCACACACCTAACCAGCAATCCATCCATTCATCCAACCTCCTATCTACTCATCCACCCCTCTACCTGTCATCTACCCAATTTTTCCTACTTTACCCATCTATCCTTCCACCTGTACAGCCATCCACGCATCTATTTACTCAGCATCCGTCTACCTGCCCATTCACTTAACCCCGCCCCCACCTACTCATTCACCTTATTTCAATTAGGATAGAAGGTAGCTAGAAGAGGTATGAGGAGAATTCTTGCTTGGGTTTGCAAGGGTTCCCTGAATATGTGGGGCTGTAGGCTATGGGCTGTGGAGTGGGGCCCTGATGGAAGTGTTGAGGAGAAGAGGCAAGAGGAGGCAGAGGTAGGGCAACTTGGGGCTCTGGGTGGCCCATCTGGCACAACTGGAGGACCTTCTCTGTCCTCTGTTCTCTCTCAGAAAGTTTTCCATTTCAGATCAAGCCCCAATACCTGTGAGACAGAACTTAAAGCCCTCCCCCTCCGGGAAGCTCTCTAGATTCCACTCCTTCCTTTCTGTGCCCTTGGCTTTGAGACATCCTCAGTAGTCTGCTCTCCTCTTCCTGTGGCTGCAAGCTCCTTCAGGTCCCACTTCAGTCCTTCCAGCTACAGGCGGGCCTGTGTCCCCCATCCTCCCCCACTTGCCTTGCAACTAGAATAGCTCATCTCTTTAATAGGACAGTTATCTGTGCTTCTTGCCTTAGAAAAGCTTCAGAGAGCTGCTAATGAATCAGAAAGCCAGTCTCCACAATTATCCTTAACAAGTGTGCTGGAGGCTTCCTGGCTTCTCCGGGTCCATGGCTCAGGGGCTCCAGCTCCTGGGTGGGATCCTCTGAGGAGCTCTGGCATTGTCCAGGGTGGCCACCCTGCGTTTCCCTTCCTTCTGGTCTACATGCCTAAGACTCCACCATCATAGGTCCATTCTCTGAGGAGAAGGTATTGCTGACGCCCAAAATAACGCACCGCCCCTGGGGTAGGTCCTCGTGAAGCAGAGTCACTGGCCACAGGAATGGGTAGGAGCCAGGGCTGGTCTTGGGCTCTCTGTCTTAGCTCCGGGGCACTCAGGGAGGGGGTCCTGAGCTCACAGTCATTTGGAGATGGACCCCTTAGTGACGGGCAATTAATTCCTTAGACACTGTCTTAACTTCCCTTCCTGAGGAAGGCCCAGAACGGACTGATGGCAGGGGAAGAAGGGAAGAGAAGGGCTGTGTGTGTATCTGGACCGAATCCAGGTGGTGGTAGGGGTGGGGGAGTAGGATGGAAGCTTGGAAGTCCTTGCAAGATGGGGAGCCTGAGGCAGGGAGTTCCCGAAGATCACTCTGGAAGTTAGCAATGGAGGAGGGACGGGGGACTGTGGACTCTGGCTATGAAGTGTCGCATTTCCCACCAAGGAGAGGCATCCGTCACAGGCAGGGGCAGGTCTGTGAGCTCCCTCCCAGGTGGCTGAGCACCACTTCCTGTGGCTGGGAGGGGGTTGGGATTCAAGGAGCTGCAGACGGGGTTGGGTAGGGGTTTGGCCGTTCTTGGGGAGGGAGAGGAGGAAGGAGAAGAGAGGAAGGGCGGAGAAGCAGCAGGTGGAGAGGGACTGAGATTGGAGAAGGTAAAGGGGAAGAGGGAGAGGGAGGTGGGCCTGGGCGGGGTCCTCACCGAGCCCTTGGTGCAATAGTCCACGTCCTCGCTGTTGAACAGGATCAAGTCTTTGATGAAGACAGCGGTGGCCCTCAGGATGAAGGATATGAAGAGGTGCATGTGGATGTAGTTCCGCGTGCAGTGGAGCTTCCTGTGCAAGGCGGGCAGAGCTGGGAGGCTGAGGGGGCCTCGGACCCCCCACTCCAACCACACTGTCCAGCCCTCGGAGCAAGGGCAGGGCAGGGGAGCATAGGGCTTCCAAGGGCAGGCCCCGCCCCCAGGTACAACCCTGGCGCAGCCTGGCCTCCGAGTGCCTCAGCCTCCAGAGCCTGCCCCACCCTCTGGTGCCCCATCTCCAGGTGCAGGGCCATCCCATGGGGACCAGGCCGAGACAGGTGGAGCGCTTTGAGCAGCCTGCTCTCTCCAGGGGAGGCTGGCGTGGTAGGGGGACAGGGCAGGGACTCTATGCTGCCTGGGGGTGACAGGGAAGGGGGCCAGAGCATGACTGGGCCAGGCTGGGCTCGAGCACAGGAGTGACCTGGCTAGGTCTGCTCTGAGGCTTGTTGCTGCGGCTGGACCTCACCTGAACAGGCTCAAGATGGCTGTAGCGACCAGAAGGGCAGCGAGGGACAGGCTGTGGCCGACGGTGTAGATGGTCTTCACAGAACTGTAGAACATTGACTGCTGCTGCTAGAGGGAAGAGGGTGGTGGGGTTGGGGGTCTTAGGTGGGGATGGGGTGGGCTCACCTAGGGGGTATTGGCAGGGGTGCGTGCCTTATGCACCCTGCCTCCCATCCCTGCCTTGGCAGATGAAGAGACTCCAGGGTCCCAAGAGCAGCTGAGCCGCCCCCTCCAGTCCCCGGACCCCTGACACCCCTCCCCTGGGTTTCCACAGACAGGACAGGACTGCTTCCCAGGGCGGGGCGGGGGTTGACTTGAACCTCCTCTCTCTGCTCTTTCACGAGGGAAATGTCAGTGACGGAAAGAGCAAAGACCTCACGCGTTCCATGTGCCCGTTTGTTCATTCTGCAGTCATGTGTTCAGCACCCCTTCCGTGCCAGCTTTGGGCACGGCCCCCCGGCGGCCCAACACTGTGCCCTTCAGACTCCACATGAGGACCTCCCGCCATGCAGCGAGAGAGCCACACAGGGAATTAGAATACTAAAGACGACACTGGGACAATTTCCCTTCTGGGGCTCTCAGAGGCAGGGGTCAGCAGGAGGAGGGCAATCTAGCCTTTCTGCAGGGGGACAGGACTAATCTGGAATCCAAAGGCTTCTGGCTGGCCCCTCCAGGAACCCTCCCTAGGGACACGTATGCAGATCCTTGGCCACTGGGTGAGTCCCTTGTTTCTCTCCACGTCCCACACCCTGCTGGAGAACAGGCAAGTGGTTAAGTGGGATTTGGGGGATTTAGATCCTGCCTGGGGACCTGGTGGGTTTGAAGGCCTCTGAAGAAGTTGCCCTTGTGGGAGGAGCAAAAGCTCTGAGAAGGGTGTCTGGGGGTGGGACAAACGTCACAGCAGACGGACACACACACATACCCACGACCCCACACCAAAGCAGTGAGGGGGCTCCTAGCTGAGGACTCCAGTTATACTCTCACTTCCCATCAGTATCCCCACGTGGCTCCGGGGCCCACATCTGCACAGCAACCATTCATGCTTCAGCTGCTCCAGGGCATATGCCTGTCCTGGGACTGAGGACCATGGTCTTGTCCCTGTCCCTGTCCCTGTCCCTGACTGGCTGCTGAGGATCTGCCCCTCAGTTTCCCCTCTGCATGAGATAGGAAGATGATATCTGCCCTCCCTGCCCCTCTAGGGCTGGAGCAAGGCTTCCATGAGTCAGCGGGGTGGCCCGGCCGGAGGGCCGAGTGCTGTTTCAGCTTTTGCCGCTGTGTGTCATCCTCATGAAAGTCCCCTTCCTGTTCCCTGTCAGGGACAGAGAGGGGGATGAGCCCCTGGAAATGCAGGTCTGGCAAGGGAGGAGGCTTGGGGAAGGCAGACCCCACGAGTCCTGGCTTCGGCATAGACAGCAACCTCACTCCTTGCTGGGAGAGGGTGGAAGGAGCCTTGCAGGCCAAGGCACTGTGGGAGGGCAGGGGTGGACTGAGGCCCACCTCTTCCAAATCTGATGCCTTGTCATTCAAGCCACAGGCAATGGGGTAGGGGCCAGGTTCCAGGTGCGTCCAGCCCTCGTTGGTGCAGCTGCGGCTCACGTTGCGGCCTGGGTGGAGGGGAGAGGGGGAGAGGAGAGAGGTTGAGGCTGGGAGCAGGTGAGTCCGTGGAGTAGGTATGGGGCTGGGCTGTTTCTGAGCTCAGCCTTTCCCCGGCACCCCCAGTTGTATCAGGCTCCAGCGGCCCTGACCCAGACTTCCAGGGAGCTGCCGGGGCACTTGGGGCAGGGAAAAGCTCTTCCAGGGCCTGGCAACACGAGTAACAGTCAGAGCAGACATTCCTGGGCTCAGCTTTGCCCCTTGGCGTGTCTGAAACTGACCCCGGGTGCAAGATAAATAAAGCGATTTTTGTCACGGCCTGAATTCTTGGTATAGAATGACCCACGACCCTTGTCATGAGCTAAATGTTCACTCTTGTCACAGGGCCACAGGAGCCGGTGTGGCAGATGGTTTCTTTGTCCTGTGGGTGCAGATGGCGGCCCTGTGGCTGGGCCGCGGGACTCCTCCTGGGTCAGCTCGCCTGGGCCGATGGGCCTGATTTCCTCCCACACCTGGTGTGGCTCAGATGTGCTGCTGGAGAGGGACCAAAGGTGAGGCAGGAAGTGGGGGTGGAGGGCACCTGGTTAAGGGTGCAGGTCTGAAATGCTCATGAATGGAGAAGCAGGGAGTCCTGGCAGGGAACCTGCCCGGGCAAAGGCATGTGTGTGCAGGGAATCGAGCAGCACAGCGCTACAGGAGCTTACGGCTGAACTTCACTGAGTTCTCCACTGTCCTTGGAGGCCCACAGCTGTAGCGAAGGGGCAGGGCTGATGAGAGTGCCTGTGACCTGAGGGCTACCTTGAGGCTGCCCACTCTCTAGCCCTGGAGAGGAGTTGAATAGAAAATGGGTGAGCCAGAGAAGATCCCCGTCCCTCTATCCCAGGACTCATTAAAGGGGCACTGGAGTCCGGGGTGAAAGCTGGCTTATGGGGGAGGGGAAGGGGGAAAGAGGAGGAGAAGGAGGAGGAGGAAAGAGGGAGAGAGGAGGGTGGGGGTGGCAGGAGGAGAGAAGAGGCGGGAGCAGGAGGTGAAGGGATGGAGGAAGAGGGAGGAGGAGGGAGAGCACAGTAGGGAAGGAGGCGAGGTGAAGCTGAGAAAGAAGATGGGTCCTAACGTCCTTGCCCTATAGCTCCTCCCTCACCAGCACCACAGCCACTGTCCCCATCATCACTGGTATCGTCACTGTCACCATCATTAGTACCGCCACCAGCACCACCACGATCGTCACCATCACGGTCACCACCATGGTCCCCATCACCACCAGCAGCAGCATCGGCAGCAGCAGCAGCAGCAGCATCAGCTCCATCACAAAGACAAGTTCGAGAACTCTTCATTCATCAGTACTGTACAGAGCAGTGTAGGCTCAGTGTCTCAGTCCCCATCACCCTCCAGTGAGGAAGGGAAGCCCAGTTCACACTTGAGAAGTGAGGCTCCAAGTGGTTGGTCACTTGCCCAAGGCCACACGGAGAGAAGAGGGTAGAAGCAGGTGTGACCCCCAGAGTCTTCTCAGCTGCCCCCTTGCCCCCGTCTGCACTGAAGGGACCTGGGGACTTGTGTCAGGTGTCCAGGTGCAGAGCTGTTGGAGACGTCGAGCTGTCCTGAGAGCTG